AGCATCCGCTTCAGTGGTGACGAACAACGTTGGGCGAGGCAGGCAGGCCAGCTCTCTCTGGGGATCGGCTCTGCGTGAAACCATTTGCGGCCACTCAAGGCAAGCGCCCTCTTCATGGGGGCGTCTTCTCAGCCCTGAGATTATGCCTGGCAAGCCAGCTCTTCCTCGGCATGCCTCACCTTTGCAATGAGCAGGGTCCACGCTTGGCAAGGCAGCGCTTCACAGGCCTGGCACCTTTGAATTCCCCTTAGTGAGGAATGTGGGGCGATTTGCCTGATTTTGTTGGGCTTTTCCTTCTCATGCGTAATACTCTATTTTCCTTGCTTCTGCACGAGCGTGGCGGTCCTGTCCGGCCGTGGACCGAAGGCACGACTTGGCCTGTTGTGACGCTCAGCAGCTCCTGGTTGGAAACGAGAAGGTTGAAGAGTGTCTCGCGCTTTGAGGCTGTTGGAAGGGCTGCTGTTTCCTTGGAGGGAAGTGAAAGGGAGTAAGTTCTGTGTTTCTTTTTCTTTGTGGCAAAGGGTTTATCTGCAGAGCTGCCTGGCAATGCTGCTTTTCTTTTAGTGGGGATAGCTGGGGATAGAGAAGGCAGGTTCCAGTGAGCAAGGCAGCCTGCTCTTCCGGGGACAGTCAGCTGAGTCGTGAGGTGACAGCACCAGCTGTGGGGGCCTTCCTGGATGTGGCTGAGCTGCTTGGCCCTTGCGAGGTTCCTTTGCATGGAGTGGGTTTGGGAGGCCTTTTCCAAGGCTCCTGTAACGCTAAGCCTTTGGCTTCTCCGCTGCAGGGTATCTGCCCGCCATGGTGCTGGATATGAGGCATTCCGCCAGGCAGCCTGTGGAAAAGAGGAGGACGGCAAGAAGAGATGTGAGCCGAGGCAAGAGTTCTGCGCCCCCGTCAGGACGCCGCTGCCCATCAGGCTGGTGGAGGCGAAGAAGGTGGGTATCGCAAGCACTTCACAAACATGCTTTCTTAGGAAGGTCAGGTTGGAGCTTGAATTACCCCACACCAGGCAAGCCGCCTTTTTTTGGGGTGGCAGAGTTGGCAAAAGATTCTTTCAGTGCCTGGCCCGAAGCCCCTTCCAGGGGTTGCTCTTTCTTGAGCTGCTGGTGGCCAGCATCCCCTTCATGGGGGGGCCTGAGCCGAGTGCCAGATTAGACTCGTGGCGGGCCAGCCTCTTTATGAGGTGGAGCCCACGTTGGAGATTTTCAGCCACGCCAGGCCAGCTTCCCCTTCATGGGGAGGCTGGAGCCTAGTGCCTGATTAGACTCGTGGCGGGACACCCTCTTTATGAGGTGGAGCCCACGTTGGAGATTTCCAGCCATGCCAGGCCAGCTTCCCCTTCATGGGGAGGCCGGAGCCGAGTGCCAGATGAGACTCGTGGCGGGCCAGCCTCTTTATGAGGTGGGGCCCATGTTAAAGGGATTTTGTGCCACGCCAGGCCAGCTTCCCCTTCATGGGGAGGCCGGAGCCGAGTGCCTGATTAGACTCGTGGCGGGCCAGCCTCTTTATGAGGTGTAGCCCACGTTGAAGGGATTTTGTGCCACGCCAGGCCAGCTTCCCCTTCATGGGGAGGCTGGAGCCGAGTGCCAGATGAGACTCGTGGCGGGCCACCCTCTTTATGAGGTGGGGCCCACGTTGGAGATTTCCAGGCACGCCAGGCCAGCTTCCCCTTCATGGGGAGGCCGGAGCCGAGTGCCAGATGAGACTCGTGGTGGGGAGGCCTCTTTATGAGGTGGAGCCCATGTTGGAGATTTCCAGCCATGCCAGGCCAGCTTCCCCTTCATGGGGAGGCCGGAGCCGAGTGCCAGATTAGACTCGTGGCGGGGAGGCCTCTTTATGAGGTGGAGCCCACGTTGAAGGGATTTTGTGCCACACCAGGCCAGGTTCCCCTTCATGGGGAGGCCGGAGCCGAGTGCCAGATTAGACTCGTGGCGGGCCGGCCTCTTTATGAGGTGG